AAGGTATTTATCATCAGCTCGGTAAACACATAATAAAAATAAACGACGTGGAGACTGCATCACTTATTACGAAATCCCATCGCTTTAGCCTCGCAGCTAAAGCTGAGCCATAGGAAACATATGTTGAGATATCTGTGTATATGATGATGATGATGATGATGATGACGACGATGATGATGATGATGATGATGACGATGATGATGATGACGATGTTGATGAAGATGATGATGATGATGATGATGATGACGATGATGATGATGACGAGGATGATGATGACGATGATGATGATGACGACGATGATGATGATGATGATGATGATGATGGTGATGATGATGACGATGATGATGATGACGACGATGATGATGATGATGATGATGATGATGATGACGATGACGATGACGATGATGATGATGATGACGATGACGATGACGATGATGATGATGATGATGATGACGGGAGAAGACCCAGCAGCAGCAGCCTGGTCCCTCTGACTTACTCTGAGGCCTGATCGATGCCACATCACTGAACACCGCTACTTAAGTTTTGCCAATAGCCAGATTTAAGTAAATATACTTTAGAATACATTAGGCGTGATTCATCAGCCGCGGAGTCATTCAAGGAGCCATGAAAAGATTAGTCTGTCTCTATGCAGTCATTCCTCGAGAACAGAGGAGCTAAAAAAAACCCAAACCCCACAGTTAACTCAAACAACTGAATACTAGTGTTTCAGCCTTAAAATCAACACATTCTTTTATTATTATTGCTATTCCTTATGTTATAAATTATAGTTGTTCTATTATTATTATTATTATTATTATTATTATTATTATTATTATTATTATTATTATTATTATTATTATTATTATTATATCGACCTCTATTCCAAATGAAAAGCTGTGGCTAAACTTAAGTGCTCTGCGGTCACTTCCTGCACTAAAACTGCTGAGGCAGTTCAATCTAACACACACACACACACACACACACCCTCACATCCTTCACACGCCTAACTTAAACACTTTCAGCAGAATGCATTTTTGCCACCACATCGATCCTTCGGGAACGCATCGAGCGCATTGCGGCTCCGGGTTCACCATCGATTATTTGATCAGTAAACGACAGCATTGCTTAAAGATAAAAACTAAATGCTCTGGCCTTGGTAAACAGGACGAACTGAGAGCAGCCGTGGACCAACACTGTTCTATGCCACAATGAAGGAATGGAACTTTTCAACACAGCATGTGTGTGCGTTTGTGCTCAAAGTCGATGCCAACATGCTGCGCCCCAACCCAAAAAAAACAAAAAAACACCACACACTTCAAACCTTACTATTATTATTATTATTATTATTATTATTATTATTATTATTATTATTATTATTATTATTATTATTATTATTATTATTATTATTATTATTATTATTATTATTATTATTATTATTATTATTATTATTATTATTATTATTATTATTATTATTATTATTATTATTATTATTATTATTATTATTATTATTATTATTATTATTATTATTATTATTATTATTATTATTATTATTATTATTATTATTATTATTATTATTATTATTATTATTATTATTATTATTATTATTATTAACAGTACAATAATAATGACATGTCTTTGCGGCGTCGCCCCAGTCACACATATCGACACGGTGTTTAATATTTCATATTATATCTGCCACAGGATATGTTTATTTTTAAAATACAAATTAAAACCGAGCTCTAGGCGCGCGGATGGATTTTTGTTTAGGGGTAAAATATCAGAGCTGAATTCCAATTGTTTCTGGGTTTACCTTCTCTGCTCTGCCTGCTTATGAATCTCATACATAAATAAATGATAATAATAATAAAAGAAAAGCACGTGAACGCCTCTCCCCTGCATGTTACCTCACATTCGGATTCTAACCCTGGAGCGTGTTGAGCCAGATACCGTGAGAAACAGGAGGAGAGGAACCAGCGGGTCTGATGTGAAGTTTAGAAAAGTAGCCGGTGAGAAGTATAAAACTTTTCAGTGAGTTGTTCTAGGTTGTAAACCCCGGTGAATTAGGAGCAGGGAGCCAGCAATGAAAGTTAACATCCATCACCACCGCGACCAATAAGGTGCTGTGGCCGGCTGGCTGAGCGCAGATGACGGATTCGCTGCCGTGCGGGCTTCGGTAATTCATTTTCGATAGCAGTGGTTGCTGGGATCAATACAGGGACATTAACCCGAGCGGACACTGCTGTTATCCTGATGGCACAAGCCAAAAGCCACAGTCCCCTCTGCAATCAGCAAAACACACTTTTTTAGGCTCATTATTTTGGGCTAGAGGAGTCGTGCGCCACAGCGGCCACCGATATCACAATGGATAAGGCAGTTATGGATGGCTGTGACCTCGGTGTTAGTAAACACTGCTCGGGGAAATTATTTTATGCAATTTGCAAATGAATAGTGATGCCACTTCCAGGACTGCTGGCCTATTTTTACTACAGCGGGTCGAAATGCTAATGGAACCATTTTACACGCCAGCGTGTCAGTTGCTAACGGAGAAACTGAAGGCCTGCTGGACACGCGCGCGCGCGCGCACACACACACGTGTCATTCCTTTAAATTCTGCCTCACACCAAACACACATATTAGTATCAAAACCCGATCAGAACCATGACTTCAGTACAGCTCGCGTGTTCATTTCAAACTAACCAATCAGTGACAGTTACGGTCCTGCAGGTTTGAATGCCTATTGGGTCAAATTCTAACAACGACATAATATCATTGTTTCACAGTGGTGTAGTGGACGGTCAGGATTTTAAAACTTACCCTACATGTTCACTCCTGTCTCACATGAACACACCTAAAGTAACAAGAAGCATAAATGAACATTTGCTACAATATATTTAACATAACAGGTCCATGTAAACACATGGTTGAAGGAGACAAATGTCCATCTATATCGTCGTTATGCTCCTTTACTCAGTGACAGGTTAGCTTTTTGCTAATTCTTTTATGCTAACGTTTTGTAACAAATGAGTGATCATTTGTCAGTGATATCAAAACCTTTGGCCTTTTGGCGACCACTGAAGTACACTTCATATATTTAAAATATTGCACTTAAAATGTTGTATTAAATTATCCTTTACATTTGTATTAACACATCTTTATTTAGTGGCGGGGTGAATATGAACGTTTGAATTATTACGTTTAACCTGGTGACTTGATAGAATTAACAATATTTTGGTAGTTTTGTGTTAATAACATCCGACGGTTTGCACGTGTTCTCCTACATGAACAAGGTGGTGATGTTCAACCAAAGGTGTAGAAGTTGCGTCAGTCGTGTTGTGGTTGTGTCCATGGTATGAATCAATATTTAATGCCACTATCCAATAACAAACATGTTCCCACACACACATTTAGACTGCGTTCAAACATGTCTGTGAGGGTGTTGATTTGACTGTAGTTTCTACAGGCTACACCACCCAATACACAACAACACACAGTCGAACTGTAGTGCAAACCTCCAGAGACCCCATCATACGAAGTGATGGTATAACATTTGATTTGTTAAGTTAACAGCCTGAAACCTCGGGTTGCTGCCTGTAGATTTTTCTCCTGGTCCCTGAAATCAACGCAGCTTTGCTCTGTTTCACCTCAGCTACTACTACTCTTCACTTATCAACTTGTTCACACTTTCACAAAAACCCTAGTTGCTCCAACTCGACGTTTGCTGTAGGCACCGGCCAATCGACACATCACATGATCCATATACCCACACCGACACAGATGATGGATTGTTGACACGGACTGACGTCTGCGAGCAGCCGCCTTCACCCAGGAGTTTGTGAGGCATAAAAAATAAAATAAAATAGGAGTTTGATTTTCACAGCCTGAATCCGAGGCGCAGAGAGGCGAGAGGGGTCAAAACCCTGAGGCTGATGATGAAATAAAACTGACCATGTGTACACAAAGATTTTTGTGATGGTGAAGATCACAGATGATGAAAACGCACCAGTTAAAATCTAGGCCACACACACTTTACACACATACGCGTGTTGTCTTTTTATTTAGGGGGAAGAGAGCCGGTTACGGTTTAATGTGTGGTCCGATTACACCTGAAAGCGTGTCAAAGGTCAATCCACGCAGTCAATTGTCATATCTCTATTGTTTTCTTGATTAAGGAAATTATACGGCGTGATTTATCTGTGACCAAAGACAAAAATCAACATGAAGAGGTCGAGAGCACCTTTGAGGATCAGCACTGCTCCCCTCATTGTGACACATGTCAATTAATATTCAACCTTTGACAGACACATCACATGCGCTGCTGGCGCCTTGTCAAACGGTGTTATCAGGGAAAAAAAGGATCCAGTTCTTTCTTATCCATCTGAGCGCAAACATTGCGCACCAAAGGATTGCAGAGGATTGCATTTTTTTGCGCTTTATCTTACCAAGTGTCTAATGCAATCTTCTTTTTTTTCAGGAATTGAGGTCCAAACACTGTGCAACATTAACAACCCCATGACACGGGAGAGGGAGGGGGGTGCCGTGACGTCAGACAGGCACCAGACAGAGGGCGCGCGAGTACGAGTAGGATGCAAGACGGGGGCGCGCACATGCGCACAGACTCGGTATCATCCTGACTTGAGCGTACGGTCGCGTGGATATACACACAGAGAGAGCAGAGCAGCGCTGTGGGTATAGAGTGAGGGGCTGTACACACGGAGAGGGGCAGACACCTCACGCACAGAGCAGAGGTTTGCGCCGCAGCTTCTGATGGACTCGATCTTTTAAAACCATGCTGGATTGACTGCAGAGAGGCAACTAGAATCAATGGCGTGGCTTTGAATCGTTCAAAATTTATTGGAAAGGAGTGTGAGATAAAACGACAGCGAGAGAGAGAGAGAGAGAGAGGGAGAGAGTGAAGGAGCGAGAGAGGGAGAGAGAAAAGAGAGAGAGAGAGTGGTGGAAGAGGGGTGGAAATAAAGATCTCTTCAACAATGGAGCTTACAATGGAAAACATTGGAAATCTTCACGGTGTACCTCACTCCCATCAAACCAGCGACTTAATGAACTCCCAACACGCGCGCCAGTCTTCGGCGTCGCATCGAAACTTGGTGTCGCATGGACGCTCGGCCATGGTGTCCAGCATGGCCTCCATACTGGAGGGAGCGGGGGACTATCGCACTGACCACTCTCTGTCTGGACCCCTGCATCCTGCCATGAGCATGTCCTGCGACTCCGGCATGAGCCTGAGCAGCACCTACACGAGGCTGACGCCGCTGCAACACCTGCCCCCCATATCCACTGTGTCGGAGAAATTTCACCATCCACACCCACATGCTCACCATCATCCGGACCACCAGCGACTCAC